CAACATCCAGGCACACCCAAGGATATTGTCAATACCCCGGCATACCCAAGGATATTGTCAAAATCCATGCACATCCACTAATAATGACAACATCCAGGCACACCCATGGATATTGTCAACATCCAGGCACAGCCACTAATAATGACAACACCTAGGCACACCCATGGACATTGACATCATCGAGACATACCCGTGAATATTGACAGCATCCAGGCACACCTATTTATACTGAGATTTGGGGACACTCATGAATCCAGGCACACCTGGATACATCGATGTGTGATTGCGATTATTACCTGAGGATAGGGATGCCGATGCGATTACGGCCTAACAGTCAGCAGTGCCGATCCGTCGAGTTTTGAACAGCCAGCAGTGCCGATCCGTCGAATCATGCTTGAGTGGTTCTGTACTAATCGGTCGAATTTCAGACCGTGTTAACACACTGGGAGAGTCTAAGTTAATTAATTAAGGGATCGGCTTGTATTGGATTAGACTACATGTTTTCTTAGATAGTTTCGCTTCCACTGTGTGCCAATCTTAGTTTCAGCAAACGTATTTGTCCATTTGATAATATCGTCAACAATTTCAGGACAGACATACAGAGTGAAGGCTTCCACTGGATTTTTATTGGTGACTTTTCCATTCAGCTGGCGAATAATATTACTCTGACTTGTTCGATCTAAAGCCATTGGGCCCTTGAGCCACTGTCCTCGACCACGGCTGTCATACCTGTCAGGGGCTTTTATTTGTGCATCAGTCTCATTGTCAGAGTTGGAAGTAGCGTCATCCTCTAGGTCACAGTCGGAATCTGTGATTTCAGATCCTTCAGATGGTTGAAAATCTTCATCAGATCCACCATCACTTTCACCAGAGTGATCACCACCAAGCTCCCGTTGCATAAGTTCAAATAAGTTTTTTTAATCCATTTAGAATGTGCTCTAGGTACACAAGTCACAGAAGCCCCGGAAAAAGGTTAAATGAATCTGATTGCCTTGAGCAATTCTAAATACTGGTCAAAGATTTGTCAGTGGGGTCTGCATGGGCCCCATCAGTCCCCAGTAGGGTATGTGCAATAACACATCAACTACTTTATAATGGAAATTCTTTCTAAATCTTAACCTGATTTTTAAAAAGAAAAATGGTCAAATGAAGATAACCCAACGTCCCATTAAGATATTTTTTAAGACAAAAGTGCAAAAATAATGCATTTTTATTTAAGGCATCAATTTCTCATTGTATCATATGTATCAAAGATAAGTACAAAAGTACAAAAATAAAGAGAGTCAGCCCAACCTTAACCCCTTGCGTCTTTTTTTGGTATGATCCAATATTTTGATAACTAATTAATCGCTAAGATCACAGTGCTCATCCGTCGAATGCATTTTACTACTTGAAATCAGAAATTCGACGGTTCGGTACGCGACCGCCGATGCATATTGAGAGGACTGAAGATTGCGACATATTACCCGAGGATAGTGCTGTTGGTGCGTGTTGTATGGCGTGAATAGTGTGATTAATTTCCTGTGGCGAGTGATGTTGATGCGTGTTGTATGGCGTGAATAGTGCGATTAATTTCCTGTGGCGAGTGATGTTGGTGCGTGCTGTATGGCGTGAATAGTGTGATTAATTTCCTGTGGCGAGTGATGTTGATGCGTGTTGTATGGCGTGAATAGTGTGATTAATTTCCTGTGGCGAGTGATGTTGGTGCTTGTTGTATGGCGTGAATAGTGTGATTAATTTCCTGTGGCGAGTGATGTTGGTGCGTGTTGTATGGCGTGAATAGTGTGATTAATGTCTTGTGGCGAGTGATGTTGGTGCATGTTCTTATGGCGTGAATAGTGTGATTAATGTCTTGTGGCGAGTGATTTTGGTGCATGTTCTTATGGCGTGAATAGTGTGATTAATGTCTTGTGGCGAGTGATTTTGGTGCGTGTTGTATGACGTGAATAGTGTGATTAATTTCCTGCGGCGAGTGATGTTGGTGCGTGTTGTATGGCGTGAATAGTGTGATTAATGTCTTGTGGCGAGTGATGTTGGTGCGTGTTGTATGGCGTGAGTAGTGTGATTAAATTCCTGTGGCGAGTGATGTTGGTGCATGTTCTTATGGCGTGAATAGTGTGATTAATGTCTTGTGGCGAGTGATGTTGGTGCGTGTTGTATGGCGTGAATAGTGTGATTAATTTCCTGTGGCGAGTGTTGTATGGCGTGAATAGTGTGATTAGTTTCCTGTGGCGAGTGATGTTGATGTAAAAGGACTGGCCCAAATGTTCAGGGTCTTTTCCCACTAATGAAGTATATGACTTTATGGATAACAGCTTCTTGTTTATTGCAAAGAACACAGTACCGTGTTAGTGAAGTACATCTTACTACATCAGAGATCGACATCTATAAAGATTTAGAACATGCTACTTAATTGCCCAATTTATTTATTCCTGGGGCACAAGTACACCGAGAATATAATATGTTCTTCATTCCACGCAGTAAACTTTCAGTCTGCATACTTGTGCAGTTGTTTACGCCTGATATAATTCTGACACTCAAAGGGCGGTGGGGTAGCCTTGTGGATAGAGCTGTCGCTCGTCCAGGGTTCGATTCCCCACGTGGGTACTGTGCGTGAAGCCATATTCTTCTCTCTCTATTGTACTATTCTGACTTAACCATTAGCTTTTGTTTATGAATTACTGTAAGTATTACTGTACATAGTAAGGATGCTCATGCTGTTGATCACTGGATTGTCTGGTCCTGACTCCATTATTTACAGACCGCCACCGTATAGCTGGAATATTGCTGAGTGCGGTGTTAACCAACAAACCAACAACAATCTTGTAACTTGAGATGTATTGTGAGTCGAGAGGCAAGCGTTAACTCCCTTGAAGGAAGACTCCAGTAGTCCCCAACTCCCTGGATCAGAATATGGTGGAGAGACCCAGTGGGATTGTTGTGCTCTGTATACGTAGTACCCTACAGAACTCTGTTTAAATAGAGCACACCACTGTCCCCTTCCCTCTCTAACTATCCACACGTACAATATCATACACTTGGAACATTGTTAAATATTGAATAACACTGCCACATGGTACTCTCTCCGTCGGAGAAAGAACCTTTGAACATAGTAAGAACGTTCTTTGCTAATGGAAGTAAAAAAACTGCCAAGCATAGTTGATAAAAGTCTGCAGTCAAAACTGATCACCCTGAACCTGTGAATACTCGAGAGTTCAAGAAAATTATCCATGAAAGTGCTAGTCAAATCGTAACTGGAATGAAAAACAGGAAGGAAAAATACCTGTAATCTCATTTCAAGATTTTCAGTACTTCCCTAAGTGCTAGCCTCATGACAAACAACAGAAAAAGTCAAACATTTCCCCCTGCCAAATGATTCCCAATAAGCAAGGCTACGTCTTAAAAACGGAGAGATCCTACAACCCCCACTTTAACCAACCCAGACACCAAGTCTGTTTTCAATTTCACAAAATGGAGAGGCGCTCTGGTAGAACCACATTAACCCTCTAGCAAAAACCTCATAGTGGGCTGGTAGCTCCTCGGAAAGTGACAAAATACCATGCATAATCCGAGTGTGAAGAGCACCATTATCCCTCAAAAGGGTAATGGCCTTAACATTGGAACTGTCACCTTTAGGTGACACAAAACCTGAAGTAACGAAAGGTACGAACTCCTCTCTATCACAACCGACTTTAATAACTGATCTGCAAAAGCTTCCCATTAGGTGTGACTTGACATTCACAGAAAAACATTGGGGAAAGAATGCCTGTGATTTCTGCACTCAGAAATGATGTGCCCTGACTGACGACAAACTACAAGTAGCCTCTGACGAAAATCCAGAAGTATCTTTAGAACCAACTGGAGTAGAACTTGATTGCTTGTCATCAAACTCAGGGGAAGACTTTGAAATGGCAGAGCGAGAACTAGGAGAGGATGAATTATACTTTACTTGTTTAACTCTGTGGACACCTGCCTGAAAATCTTGGTTACCTGAAATTAACCCTGTGAGTTCGCAAATAATCCTCGGCTGCAGTGGTATTCAATAGATAAGGCAGAACAAACATCCTGAGCCTTTCCCATGAACACACTTTGCAAGAACATGGACCACAGATTCTCAGTCCATTTCATATTGTTAGACAACTTTTTAAAATGCAAGAAAACCCTTTCAAAATCACGTTCAGGGTGAACAAATGTTTTCTGACAGGACAATCTTTCCGAAATCCTCGCATCATTATGTCTACTTTTAATTTCATATTGTCATTTTCGTTTTCTTTATCAGTTTCAATTTCTAACTGCCTTATCTGTAACGTATACAACCCATCATAAGTTGACTCACTAGTGTAAATTTGCCACTAACTTCTATCAACTGTTCCAAACTAGATTTTGCAAAGTATTCCACACTGTTTAAAGGTACTGTTTACACATGAAAGATTATTGTCATGAGTTCAATAAATGATAAAACTCAGTGAATTCTCAACAAAACTTTACACCAAAACGCAGCTGTTCACATGCACGATATTTGCACATGCTTGTCAGCAATTTGATGCATGATCCTCGTGCAGTTAATCTGTATAAGGTTTGAAGTTGGTTCCCCCAAGTTAGTGGAGAAATTCATCTTCGATGTAACCATATACATAACATATAGTGAATGCTTTAACTGAGTATAAACTTGTGATGGGTAGAATATATTTTATGTTGCGTCAATGTTTACTCCGTTTTGCTGTTGACAGAGTTTTATGTGGCGTCAAGGCTTACACCGTTTTGCTGTTGACAGAGTTGTATGTGGCGTCAAGGCTTACACCGTTTTGCTGTTGACAGAGTTGTATGTGGCGTCAAGGCTTACACCGTTTTGCTGTTGACAGAGCGTACTGAACCGTGAACGCTTAACTTCACCCGCTCCAGGTTAACACGTTACACTTTGAGTGACTGGCAAGGGCAGCGTCAGGTATAGTACACTATCGTTTCATTTACCAGCAAATTAAGAAAATCACAAACAGCGAGAAGGACAATGCCTTTATTTCCTGTCATTTAGTTGGAGCAGCTGCATAAGTACAGAAGGTTGAGTGTCGCTAACTTATGTTGACGCCGTCGTGTTTGGATGGTGCACGTGCTGAAACAGGATGTGGCATTACTGTCACTCATATGTACTTCAATAGTACATACAGGGGACCGACATTACCTGGTTTACTGAGTGTCTGTGAGACAGATGACCGACATTACCTGGTCTACTGAGTGTCTGTGAGACAGGGGACCGACATTACCTGGTCTACTGAGTGTCTGTGAGACAGATGACCGACATTATCTGGTCTACTGAGTGTCGGCGAGACAGGGGACCGACATTACCTGGTCTACTGAGTGTCTGTGAGACAGGGGACCGACATTACCTGGTCTACTGAGTGTCTGTGAGACAGGGGACCGACATTACCTGGTCTACTGAGTGTCTGTGAGACAGGGGACCAACATTACCTGGTCTACTGAGTGTCGGTGAGACAGGGGACTGACATTACCTGGTCTACTGAGTGTCAGTGAGACAGGGGACCGACATTACCTGGTCTGCTGAGTGTGTCGGTGAGACAGAGGACCGACATTACCTGGTCTACTGAGTGTCGGTGAGACAGAGGACCGACATTACCTGGTCTACTGATTGTCGGTGAGACAGGGGACCGACATTACCTGGTCTACTGAATGTGTCGGTGAGACAGGGGACCGACATTATCTGGTCTACTGAGTGTCGGTGAGAAAGGGGACTGACATTACCTGGTCTACTGAGTGTCGGTGAGACAGGGGACCGACATTACCTGTTCTACTGAGTGTCGGTGAGACAGGGGACCGACATTACCTGGTCTACTGAGCGTCGGTGAGACAGGGGACCGACATTACCTGGTCTACTGAGTGTGTCGGTGAGACAGGGGACCGACATTATCTGGTCTACTGAATGTGTCGGTGAGACAGGGGACCGACATTACCTGGTCTACTGAGTGTGTCAGTGAGGCAGATGACCTACACTATTTGACATATTTTATGTGCCAAAGGAACAGATGGCCTAAGTTACCTGTTGTATGTAATGCACAAGGAGCTGCTCTTCGTGTGCTGGTAAACCTGCAATAGACAACGTGATATAAATACCAACCTGTACAAACCAAAGTTACTTACATCATACGTAGATGAACTTGAAAGACTTGATATCATGAGTGTTGACCTCAATGTACTTACTGTTCGCAATCTGCCTGATCGTCTGCGGACCAACTTTATGGATGTATTGGGACAGGCGACCGATCTCGCCCTCAGCCAACAGTTCCACGAGGATCACCTGGTCCTGCGCTGACAGTTTGTGAAAGTAGTCCTGGTGGGTGATGTGGCGCAGTAGCTGCAGTAGGTCTGCGCTCACCACCAGGAACAACGCCGCAAATGCAACCAGTAGAAGGACTCGCATCGTCGTGCTAATGCATAATGAGATTGACCCCTGTATTAGCAATATTCAAGATCAGTCACAAAGGGGTAGATCTACGTTAGACTCCACACGAGAGAGAGAGAGAGAGAGAGAGAGAGAGACACAGTCAGAGAGAGAGAGAGAGAGAGAGAGAGAGAGAGAGAGAGAGAGAGAGAGAGAGAGAGAGAGAGAGAGAGAGAGAGAGGCTGTATTAGCAATATTCAAGATCAGTCACAAAGGGGTAGATCCACGTTAGACGAGAGAGAGAGAGAGAGAGAGAGAGAGAGAGAGAGAGAGAGAGAGAGAGAGAGAGAGAGAGAGAGAGAGAGAGAGAGAGAGAGAGAGAGAGAGGCTGTACATAATTCGCCGCCCACCTTGGTATTCGACATATTCCTACTGCGTTTAGAACTCGATACAGGGACGTCCCTTATGATCGCGAGTTGGACTCGACATACTGAGGCAATTTCTAGGAATACTGAGGCGTGTTTCGACAACACATGACAGGTGGGTGGTCATAACGCCGCAAGATCACCACAGGTGTGTGGCTACCAGCATCGATATCGCCAATAGATCACGAAAGACGTGGATCAACGGAAACGCAAACATAATGATAACAGACTGCTTGTTCCCACACAAGAGGATCCAGTCTTGGGGAGGGGCTTTGGTTCACACAAATTTCTGAAAGCATATCCCATATCTACATCATTTGGCGTCATCAGAAATAAGCCCCCATTGAACATTATTTCTTTACAGTACGCATCTTACTAACATTTGTACATTTAAGCGCACCCAGTGTAAACAACATATGTCGCTGGTAAGAGAAATCACTGAATGGTGATAGTGGAAAACTGACAATATGACGTATGTTCAATGGTTTCCAGCTACTATATATCTACTCGACAACAGATTACGGTTGATAAAACGTAAAAGTGTGAGACCACCGAAAACTGACAATATGACGTATGTTGAATGTTTTCCAGCTACTATATAGCTACTTGACAACAGGTTGGGGTTGATAAAACGTAAAAGTGTGAAACCACCGAAAAATGATAATATGACGTATGTTCAATGGTTTCCAGCTACTATATAGCTACTTGACAACAGATTACGATTGATAAAACGTAAAAGTGTGAGACCACCGAAAACTGACAATATGACGTATGTTCAATGGTTTCCAGCTACTATATAGCAGATTACGGTTTGACAACAGATTACGAAAACTGACAATATGACGATGGTACGTAAAGTGACTACCGAAAACTGACAATATGACGTATGTTCAATGGTTTCCAGCTACTATATATAGCTACTTGACAACAGATTACGGTTGATAAAAAATAGTGTGAAACCACCACCGAAACTGATAATATGACAATATGAATGGTTTCCAGCTACTATATAGCTACTTGACAACAGATTGCGGTTGATAAAACGTAAAAGTGTGAAACCACCGAAAACTGACAATATGACGTATGTTCAATGGGCTACTATATTACTTGACAACAGATTACGGTTGATAAAACGTAATAGAGTGTGAAACCACCGAAAACTGACTACTATGCGGTTGATAAATAGCTACTTGACAACAGATTACGGTTGATAAAAGAAACTACTTGACAACAGATTACGTTTCCAGCTACTATATAGCTGACGGTTGATAAAACGTAAAAAACCACCGAAAACTGACAATATGACGTATGTTCAATGGTTTCCAGCTACTACTATATAGCTACTTGACAACAGATTACGGTTGATAAAACGTAAAAGGTGAAACCACCGAAAACTAGCTACTTGACAATATGACCACCGAAAATGTTGACGTATGGTTTCCAGCTACTATATAGCTACTTGACAACAGATTACGGTTGATAAAACGTAAAAGTGTGAAACCACCGAAAACTGACAATATGACGTATGTTCAATGGTTTCCAGCTACTATATAGCTACTTGACAACAGATTACGGTTGATAAAACGTAAAAGTGTGAAACTACCGAAAACTGACAATATGACGTATGGTTTCCAGCTACTATATAGCTACGTGACAACAGATTACAACGTAAAAGTGTGTGACCACCACGGTAAGTTGGTAGTGTAATTAAAGACGCCATTTCTAGTTACGGAACAGTGTACAAACCTTAGTCACTCACCTTGTAACAGTGGAACATTGTACTTCACCGTCTAATATATACTTCACAGCGAAGTGCGTGATGTTGATAAAGGTATAAATAGCACGTCGACACCGCACCTGTTGATCCAATACCACATGTCTGGAAAGGAGAATATATACTAGGCACATAAAGAAAGTGTGCATACAAAAAATTAAAATGTATCAAATTTATCAAACCTGTGTAGACACATAAGGATTTAAACTCAGAGATTAGTGACATGTATCCAACATGCATGCACGTGCCACGTTCCGTGACGTCAGTGGATTCGTCCTTGAGACGTGCAATACGTTGTTGCACGTGCATTCCGGGAAAGAGAAACAGAGCAAATGAATGCCACACAATACTGTCACTTTGGAAAGCTCAACCCCTGCCCTTGCGATCGTTCAAAAAATTAAACGGCTATTGAAACGCATAGCATGCGAATGGATCACGTCTGCACAACGTCATGAGGCCATTGGGATGGTCCGTGGGGGAATGTCTCAACAACAAGTGGCTGCACATTTCCACTGCCACCGGAACACCATTTCTGCACTGGTGAGACGCTACCAGAACACAAATGACGTCATCGATCGGCCACGTTCTGGACGTCCTCGTGTAACAACGCCAAGACAGGACAGATGGATAAGGGTGACCCATCTTCGCCAAGGGTTTCAGACTGCAGTGATGACTGCCCGAACCATCCCAGGACTTCGCCGTATCCACCCCAACACAGTTCGACAACGTTTACGTCCTCACGGGATCAGACCACGACGTCCCGCCATACGGCCTATCCTGACACAACGTCATCGACAAGCTCGCCGAATGTGGTGCCGAAATCATGTCCGCAGACCCTTGTTTTGGTGGAGAAATGTTGTTTTTACAGATGAGTCCAGGTTTAACATTTCCCATAGTGATGGACGTCAACGTGCCTATAGACGCGTGGGAGAATGTCATGCACAGGCCTGTGTCTTGGAGAGGAATCGCTTTGGTGGTGGTTCCGTGATGACTTGGGGTGGAATAACAGCACGCCAAAGAACTCCTTTGGTGATTGTTCAGGGCAACTTAACTGGTGTGGGCTACAGGGATCAGATTCTTCGACCTGTGGCAATTCCTTTTCTGCAACGTCATGGATGGGTTAACATTCCAACAGGACAATGCCCGCCCTCATACGGCAAGGGTTGCTATGGATTTCTTGCAACACCACAACGTTGACTTACTTCCTTGGCTTGCAAATTCACCGGATCTCTCCCCGATAGAGCATGTTTTGGACGAGATGGATCGACGTCTACGCCGTCTTCCTCATCAGCCAGATAACGTCCTTGACCTTGCAACAGAACTTGAGAGAATCTGGCGTGACATCCCACAAGCCTTCCTTGCACGTTTGATAGGCTCTATGCGTCGTCGATGCACTGCTGTTCTCAATGCCGATGGTGGACATACCCGTTATTGAGCTTGTGACATGGTCGTTTGACCCCTGTCCCGCTTGTGGACTCGTGACGTCATTGTGATTGACTTTTCAATTGAAATTCTCCCGACTTGTTATGGTCTCGTGATCCCTCCATTAAAGTTTATATGTACCTTTGACATTGTTATCGTACTAATCAACTGGGATAATATTTTGACAATGCACAGTTTCTTTATGTGGCTAGTATATATACGTGTTTGAAAGATAAGCAATCAAATGTCTGAATTCGGACAACCGTATGTTGCATTATAAGCCAGAGTACAGTCGACCTAACGATAAGCAGAAAGTTACCGACTCCCAAAACGGGTTATAGTCTGTGGCGTCAAATATATCATTGTGACGTCATTATACATTACGTCAACAACAAAAGGTGAAATAATTATTTTACGTGCGCTTCGTGTCGATATCCGTCATTTGAAACGACATTTCATATTTTATCAAATTATGTGGTTTTCTCATCGTGGGTATTTACAAAGTTGTTTGTTTTTCGAATGGAGTAGATCACATCAAACACACGTGGTAGGTGACAGAAGAAACGTGACCTGTTGTCATCTTGGATTGGATAAATACACTTAATTATTGCGTTTACTCCTTGCACCCTAGTGGTACAGGAATGTTACGGTGACGGACCGATACGTAACAATACCACAATGTGTCAGCAAACACACATCAATGCTTAAAGCAAAAGCAGCAAATGCGTATCATTATCTTAAAGTGTATCTAAAATATGAACAATATTTAAACGCTTATATATTTAACTTAAAAACAACTGGGGGCGTAGTGGGCGAGCTGGCTAAGGCGCCAGTGATCTAGCAAGAGGTGCCGGAATGGAGCCCACCTGTGACCGGGTGTAAAAACCTTGGAGTCGACTTTGTGTGAAGGCTCTTTCAGTGTTGTCACAACCCCTAGTGTACAGTACACAACCCTGTGCACTTATAAGAACCCACGAATCCGTTGGTATATGACCAGATGGTGGCCTCATGAATACGTGCAGACACCTAGTTGCGGGTACAGCAACGTGCAGTGAACATGGACCAAGTACTGTGACTATGTGTCCCAGTCCACCCAGCTGTGAATGGGCACCGCCGCAATAACTCGGTGCGCCTAGTGGCAGCAAGAGTTGTATACCCCCCAGGGAGCTGAGATTGATAATGAGATGTGCCGTTGAGATTGACATCCAGTGATCGAGGGGAAAAATACCAGCGCCTTGAGCATGCACTAGTTGCCTGGATATGTGCGCTATATCAATATCCAATAAAAATAAAAAATAATAACAATAAAAAACAACCGTGCAATTTCGGAGTTCAGCAAAGCCTCAATTGACCTTGACCCTTTACACACAGGAGTCAGACAGTCATATCATGTTGACCTTACCCCTAGGACTGCCTTGAGT